GAGGTCGGGGTGCTGGGCACCATCCTGGCCGTGGCCACCGTGGGCAACGCGGGCGTGCTGCTGGCCATGTACCGGCTGAGGAGGAAGATGAGCCGCATGCACCTCTTCATCCTGCACCTGGGGCTGAGCGACCTGGGCGTGGCCCTGTTCCAGGTGCTGCCGCAGCTCCTCTGGAAGGTCACCTACCGCTTCCTGGGGCCCGACCCCCTCTGCAGGGCCGTCAAGTACCTGCAGGTACTCAGCATGTTCGCCTCCACCTACATGCTGATGGTGATGACCCTGGACCGCTACCTGGCCGTGTGCCACCCGCTGCAGTCGCTGCAGCAGCCCGGCCGCCAGGCTTACACCATGATCGGGGCCACCTGGCTGCTCAGCTGCCTGCTCAGCCTGCCCCAGGTGTTCATCTTCTCGCTGCGGGAGGTGCGCCCGGGCTCGGGGGTGCTGGACTGCTGGGCGGATTTCGGGTACCCGTGGGGAGCGCGCGCCTACGTCACCTGGACCACGCTGTGCATCTTCGTGCTGCCCGTGGGCGTCCTCAGCGTCTGCTACAGCCTCATCTGCCACGAGATCTGCAAGAACCTCAAGGGCAAGACCCAGAGCGGCGCCCCTGGCACGGGGGCGGCGGCGGTGGGTGCCCCTGCCAGGCCTGGCTCCGGAGGGAAGGGCGGGCAGCCCTCGCGGGTGAGCAGCGTGCGCACCATCTCCCGCGCCAAGATCCGCACGGTGAAGATGACCTTCGTCATCGTGGCCGCCTATGTCACCTGCTGGGCGCCCTTCTTCAGCGTGCAGATGTGGTCAGTGTGGGACCGCGATGCTCCTGATGATGGTGAGTGGTGAGGGGAGTGGGGCACAGAGCCCCGGGAATGCCAGGAATGCAGCTGGGTTTTTAATAAATAAGAGCTGTCTGTTGTCTTGTCGTTTAAAAATAAAAATCATGGGGAAGGCTACAGGTTTCCTCCCCTGTAATGCACAAAATTTCCTCTCCTGTAAATGTATAAAATACAAAACAGGTTTCCTCCCCTGTAATGCACAAAATTTCCTCTCCTGTAAATGTATAAAATACAAAACAGGTTTCCTCCCCTGTAATGCATAAAATTTCCTCTCTTGTAAATGTATAAAAGACAATACAGGTTTCCTCCTCTGTAATGCATAAAATTGCCTCCCCTGTAAATGTATAAAATACAATTTTCACAGTCAGGTCATTCCTTTCAGAAAAAAAACACTGAGAAGTGATGATTTCTGGCCATCATCCATAGGGATGTGCTAAGACATCTTTGCCTCATGTATGTCTTTCCTCTCCTCCCAGGGATTTCAGAGGTTTCAGAAGTGGATTTCTGAGTTCATACGTTGAATTTTTTTCCCCTGTAAATCTTCAGTAGTTTTCCTAACTACTGAAGTAGTACTATAGTATACTCCTAGAAAAGGGGACTTCACCCAAGATTGAAAGTGCTCTGGGAGATGCTTTGGGCAGCAGAGAGGTTGAAGGAAAGCCCAGAAGCTGCTGGGTCTCACCTCCCAGAGGATGTGCTCCAGCACACTGGCACTGCAGAACCTGGAGGGTTCAGGCTCTGCCAGCTTTCCATCCCCCAGGAATGCCAGCGGGATGGGAATGTGAGCCAGGAGAGCCCCCAGCTCTGCCCAGTGCCCAGCCTGACCTTGCCCAGCCCCTGGGGATGTTTCACCTCTCTCTTTCCTCTGCAGAGTCCACCAACGTGGCTTTCAGCATCACCATGCTGCTGGCCAGCCTCAGCAGCTGCTGCAACCCCTGGATCTACCTGTTCTTCAGCGGGCACCTCCTGCAGGACGCCGGGCGCTGCCGGGGCTGCTGGGGCCGCCCCCGGGCCGGGCTGCGCAGACCCAACTCCACCGGGAGCCTGTGCAGCAGGAAAACCACGATCTTGAGCCACAGCCACCAGGCCGGGCTCCCCCTGCGCGGGGACAGCGCCAGGGAGCTGTACCCGCCCTGCGACGAGGCCCTGACGGAGTCGGGCACGCTCTAGGCTGCGGAGGTGGCAGCTGTGACACTGCTAGGTGTGACACGGCCAGGTGTGACACAGCCGGTGTGACACGGAGAGGTGTGACATGGCCAGGTGTGACACGGCCAGGTGTGACACAGCCGGTGTGAAACTGCCAGGTGTGACACGGCCAGTGTGACACGGCCAGGTGTGACACGGAGAGGTGTGACACTGCCAGGTGTGACACTGCCAGGTGTGACACAGCCGGTATGACACTGCCAGGTGTGAAACTGCCAGTGTGACTCTGCCAGGTGTGACTCTGCCAGGTGTGACTCGGCCAGGTGTGACACGGCCAGGTGTGACACAGCCAGTGTGACACTGCCAGGTGTGAAACTGCCAGGTGTGACGCTGCCAGGTGTGACACGGCCAGGTGTGACAAGGCCAGGTGTGACATGGACGGTGTGACACGGCCAGGTGTGACACAGCCAGGTGTGACACAGCCAGGTGTGACATGGCTGGTGTGACATGGCTGGTGTGACACTGCCAGGTGTGACACGGCCAGGTGTGACACGGCCAGGTGTGACACAGCCAGTGTGACACGGCCAGGTGTGACAGTGCCAGGTGTGACTCCGCCAGATGTGACACCGCTCGCTCTCGCTGCAGAGCGCGCTCTCCCCACCTGGTGGCTCCGCGTTTTGCAGAAACCGCGCTGTTTCACCCCGAAAAGCGTCGCGTCCGCCTTGTCCTCGCTGCCCTGTGTGCCGGGGATGGACAGAGCCCCTCCGGCCGCTGAGCACAGCATCCACCCCCACCCGTGTTTAGGGAAACCTCTAAAGCCTCCGGGGAGGGATCCTGCAACCTCTGGGATCAGGGGATCCTGCATCCTCTGGGAGCAGGGGATCCTGCAACCTCTGAGAAGGGATCCTGCATCCTCCGGGATCAGGGAATCCTGAACCCTCCAGGAAGGGATCCTGCATCCTTCAGGATCAGGGGATCCTGCAATCTCCGGGAAGGGATGCTGCAGCCTCTGGGAAGAGGTCCTGCACCCTTCGGGAACAGGGGATCCTGCACCCTTCGGGAACAGGGGTCCTGCATCCACAAAATCCTCCTGGAGGGAGCGGACTTTTGTGTTCCCAGCTGCCAGCAGAGCAGCCGGAGCACGGCGGGCGGCACCGCGGCTCCATCTGCCCCAGAGTCGCCGCCGCTTCCTCCTCTCGCATCCTCGGGGCGTTGCTGGCCGAGCGGACAGCGGGGACAGAGCTGTCCCCCCGCGGGGCTGCACAGCTCCTGTGACCTGGAACTGCTCCCCTGCCACCTCCCCCGGGCCAGGCACGGGGCTGTCGCGTCCCCTGGTGCTGGGCACAGCTGTCCTGCACCACGCTGTGCCCGCTGGAGCGCCCCAAATGCGGCACTGGCACCCCCGAGGAGCTGCTGGGAGCAGCCCTGGCCCTGCTCCAGCTCAGCCGGGCACATCCTGCTCCCCCCGTGCCCTCTTCCCATCAGCTCTGCTCCAGCCCCATCCTGTGCTCAACATCTGCTGCATCCCAGGGAGCTGCTCTCACCCTGCTGCTGCTTTTGGCTGATTTTGCAGGGATCAGGGGCCACCCGGGGCTCGGGGAGCAGGGAACTCGGTTCTCCTGCAGTCTCAGCCTGGCCCCTGCCCTACTCCTAGGAGCTGTTTTGTGCAGGAATAAATCATGGATGAGGCAGGAAAGAGCATCCATTAGCTCAGTCGAGCTCAAAAGCTGCTGAGGGTGATGCACAGGTGGCCCAGCAAAGGTTCCAAATTCCCTGCGAGCCATGGGCACTATTCCTTCCACTATCACAGGCTAAAGCTGTAAAAATAAAACATTAAGAGTAAAATATTTTGAAATCTTCAATATTTTCGCTTTTTAATCGCCAGGCATTTGAATCAGATTTCTCAGAAGCTTCCACTCACTGGTTTTGGCCTCACCTCCAGTCCCACAATCATACCTCTCCCGGGTTTTCCAATGTTACCCAGGAATTGTTGGGGTTTTTGGAACATTTTCCTTCACGTGCCCTTCGAGCTGGGCCAGATTTGCACCACAAGGTCATGAAAGCAGGAGTGCCTGGCTCCCCGTGCCACTGATCAATCCCAAATCAATTATCTCACAACCTTTCATTAAATCACAGCACTACTGAGCCCGTTTAAAATGCACTTGTGGGGCAGCTCCAGCCCTGAGGAAGAGGAGGCAGCAGCTCCATCCCTCCCTGTGCTGGGAGGCAGCAGCTCCATCTCCCTCCCAGAGCTCCCACTGGGCATTGTTCTCATTCCCAAGAACTTTGGAAGTTTATTTCTGGAAAATTCAGAAGTAACAAAATGCAGAGTGAGGAGCAGGGACATGGCCCAGGTGGGGAGAGACAAACCCCAGCAGCTGGAGTGGGGACAAAGCAGGGAAAGCAAAAGGTGGGAGACAGGGAGAGGAAAAAGGCAGTGGAAAAACTGTATTTAAAAGGATTTTATGAGGCTGATGAGCAAAACAACAACACTGAGAGGAGCTGCCAGCCAGCTCAGTGCAGGTTTGAGGATCTCTGCATCTCCCTCCCTGAACTGCCCATTTTGAGAGGCGAGGAGGGAATGTTTCTTTTGCTTTCATGAAACGAGGGAAAAAGGGCCATGACACAGAAGTGGAGAGCTGATTGCAGCCTGGCTGGGAGGAGCCCTCCCCTGCCCCACCCCGCAGCCCTCAGGAACAGTGGAGCCTTTAAGGAAAAGCCAAGGAAGCTGTGCCCGCAGGCTGGGGTGGTACAAGTGCTGCAGCCTGTGCCAGGCAGTGCCCCAGGGGAAGGGGACAGTGCCAGCTGTGCAGCTGCTGGGGGCTCTGGGCACCTCTGAGCAGCAGCACCCTGGTGTGGCAGCTTCACCCTGGTGTGGCAGCTCCACATCAGTGTCACAGCTCCACATCAGTGTCACAGCTCCACCCTGGTGTCACAGCTTCACCCTGGTGTCACAGCTCCATATCAGTGTCACAGCTCCACATCAGTGTCACAGCTTCACCCTGGTGTCACAGCTTCACCTCGGTGTCACAGCTTCACCTCGGTGTACTCCACACCCTTGGATGCCCTGGGGCTGGAGAAGGGCCAGAAATGTGTTTTCCTCTTCTTTGGGTCCACGTTGACATAATCCATCCCAGTCTTCACGTTCTCGTAGTCCTGGGCAGAGCCTGGCTCGTGGCTTTTCCCTGGGAACACCAGGGATGTGTAATTGATGGTTTCCCCTGAGCCAGGGCCCTGCAGGAGCAAAATAAAGCCCAGGTCAGGCCCCAGCACCCACTCAGGAGCCTTTGCCCTCGAGCCCATGCACCAGTTCAGGGAATCATGGAATGGGTTGGGTCGGAAGGGACTTTATGTGCATCCCCTTCCCCCTGCCATGGTAGGGACACCTTCCACCATCCCAGGCTGCTCTAAGCCCCATCCAGCCTGACCTTGGACACTGCCAGGGATCCAGGGGCAGCCACAGCTGCTCTGGGCACCCTCAGAGAGAAGATTTTGTTTCCTAATTTTCCTAAAGTGCCCAGGAATGCTTCCCTCTGAATGGGGGACACTGGAACGCTGCGTGTGACAGGGGACAAGAACCACCCCAGCCCTTATCTATGGAATTTCAGTGTGGTTTGATGGATTTGCCCCTCCTGATGCTGCTCCAGAGCTGGACACAGCACCAGGTGGGCTGGGGATGATTTGCCTGTGGTACCTGAGGGCAGGAAGGGTTGTCTGAGTCCTCCGAGGTGTCTGAGGATGTGTCACTGCTCCCTTAAAAACAGGAAACATTTACCATCCCAGCACTTCCCAGAGGGTTACAGGGAAAAAAAGGATCAAGGGAGAAAAAGCAAACATGCTCAGAAGTGAAATTGTGATCCACAAAGCATCAGTTTGATCCCTCCCAGCCTCACTTCCCTGGGAGAAACTGGCAGGGAGAGCCCAGCTGGGTGGGAACAATGGGAACAGGAGGCAGCTCCTGCTTGGCCCTTCTCCCACCCCGGGGGTGTCCAGAGCTCATAAGGAAGAGACATCACACAAATGCCACCCAAAAATTCCCATCCCTGTGCCAGGAAAACACCCCATTGCTGCAGAGCCCCTTACCTTCATAGGCTGGTGATGGTTTGTGTGTCCCAGGCTGTTTTTGTGTCCCGGGGTGTTTTTGTGCCCTGAGGTGTTTTTGTGCCGCGTCCCCTCCTGGCTCTGAGGCTGGAGCTGGGGTGGGGTGAGGGCTGGGATGCTCCCCAGGGCTGCTGCTCTCCTGCATCCTGCAGGAATGCTGGGCTGTGACCAAGAGGAGAGTTAGCCCTGGTCCCTGCTGTGCCCAGAGCACCCCACCCTGCTCCAGCAGCCCCAGTGCAAACCAGTCCACCCCAAAAGAATGATTGCTGTGCACTGGAGCAGGCTCATATCCATCAATTCAATTACTGAGATGATCCAGAGCCCTGTTCTCCCCCCAGGAGAGGTTCCAGTGACAAATCACAGTGTCAGGGCCTCGTCTTGCAAGTTTGGAATGATTTTGACCCAAAGCAGAGCTGGGCTCTGTGCAAATGTGAGCAGCAGTTGGTGTGAAAGAATTCCCTGCTAGAAATTGCAGCTTCATCTGAATTAATACTGTGAGCTGATACTTGGTATTTTCCCAGCACTTTGCTAAAATAGCAATAAAAGAAAACGGTTTAGAAGCAACACAAGGTTGTACCACGCTCACTGATGTGTACAACCATGTCACCCACGTCACCACAGCTCACAGGCAGCCCAGCCCTGCCCTGCCCTGCCCCTTTCCCATCCCACACCCACCCCAAACCAGGAAATCACCAGGGAAAGACATTTTTAATTACCAATCTTCCTGCTGAGCATGGTGTAAAGGGCCAGCAGGAGGAGAGGGTAGAGGATCAAGGTGACAAGTGAGGTGACAGCAGGAATCCAGCTGAACAAGAGAAAACCATTCAGTCTCACTGAAATCATCAAATTCTTTTCAATCCCCCCATGGCTTCAAGGCACATTTTAGACTCAGATTTGCTGGTAGCTTTCAGTTTTGCTTTTTGGTTTTGGGGTGATGTGGCCCAAAATGAGGAGCTTGGTTTTCAAGAATTATTTGAGTTCTTTGCCCCTCGTTTTTGGGGCCTGTCCCCAGAAGGGTTTTCAAAAGCCTCCAGGGAGGGCATGTGGTGCTGGAGGGGAGAGAGACATGACAGAAATGATGGAATTATAGAACTGTGGAATGATGGAATAGGTTGGACCTTTGAAGCTCAGCCCCTGCCATGAGCAGGGACATTTTCAGGCAGACCAGGCTGCTCAGAGCCCCGTCCAGCCTGGCCTGGGGCGGTCCCAGGGGTGCTGTGAAGGGCTCTGTGCCCCAGGGTGCTGCACTCACCACGCACAAAGGCTCATCCTCCTGCTGAGGCGTCTCCAGGGCCTGAGGGGACACAGACAGCAGCAGGACCTGCTGGCAACCAAAAAAATGGTCCCACTGAGCTTCCCGCTGCTCCACAGGAGCTGGAGATCAGGCTCAGCACTTGGAAGCAGCGGTTGGATGTGGCAGATGTGAAATAAAGGGTTTTTATTTTATCCCAGCCCTCCCCCTGTGAGAGTCCCTCTGGTTCACACCCTCACAGAGCCACGGGCTGGCCCTTATCACTGAATTCATGGCTTTATACATGCTCATATCTGAGACTTGTCTGGACTTTCTGGGCTCCACCACAACAGAATTGAAATTTGTTCTTGCTTTAATTGTCCCTCATGGTTTGTTTTGTTTTATTTTCTTTTTCTCTTCTTAATCCACCAAAAAGAAAAAAAAAGGAAGAAAACTACAAGAAGCAGAAAAAAAATCCATGGAAAAAGTAACCAAAGGAAGGTCATGGGTTGGTGTAAGGCTCTTGTATCAGAGAAGGTCCAGACAGAAATATCAGAGGCCCTCCAACACCTCAGTGTCTGAAACACCTCGGATTTAATACTGTGAGAGCTTCAATCCCGCTGAGGTTAAGAGGGTTTAAGGCAGAAAATCAGAAAACACCAATGCCTGGGCTGGGCCCCTTGGCCTGGGACTTCTGGACATAAGAGATTTTTAAAAAAAGATAGGGGTGTTCATTTCGTAAAAATAGCAGTGGCCTGTTCCTTTTGTGAGCTTTCACTTGCAAAAAAAGCACTTTAAATCCTCTCTCAGTGTTATACACTTGCTATTTATAAATGGCTGATAGGGAGAGATCTTCAGCTGAGGCTTTGATACAGTGATTAAAGCAGCCATGATAATTTGATTGATAGGCTGATGGATAAATTGATAGAGCAAAGGCATTATCCATCCTGTGGAACAGATTCTATCATTTCCTCTATGACACATTTCTGAGCCTAATTCATCAAAAGCTTGTCTGATAACCACCAATCTCCTGCAAAATACCACTCAGGCAAACAGTTTGATGACTGCCAAGCTGAAAGTTCATTTTTTGCAGAAATGTTCCCCCTCCCTTACTGAATAAATCTGTCCCCAAATATCCTTCTCAAAGGGCTGCCACTCTTGAAAGGCTCATTTCCTACTGTGGGGCAGGAGACGCTGCTGCAGCAGCAGATAAGGATCTGAAAAATGAGCTGTTCAAAAGGAAATTGCAAAATAAGCCCCAAATCCAACTATCAGCAGCTTCTGTGCCGAGGTGGGCACGGCGAGATGGAGGCACAGATATCGGGTGGGTACCGAAAAATCTGATTTGAGACAGCAGCCAGTGAGAGCCTGGCACCAAATGTGCTTTTTTGGGGGCCTCAGGGAACTTCTGTGAGCCTGCAGCCTGCAGGACTTCAACCCTTTCTCAAGAAAATGCTGAAATCAAGGCTGGCAGGGAGCTGCTCCTTGGCCGGGCAGCGAGGGTCAACCTGAGGCATCTGCGCTCAGCTAAACATGAGTGAAAGCTCCAGAACAACCAAAATTACTTTAATCCCACTTGAGCCAGGCCCAGCTGGCTCACTGGAGCTCAGGATGGCACCAACACGTGCCCAGGGGGATTCCCAGCCCAGCTCTGCTCCCGCTGTGCCACCCTCTGCTTCGCGCGCCATCGCGCCCAGAGCGCGGTGCCCAACGCGGGCTTACCTGGGCTCAGAGCCTTCCAACCTTCCCTTCCCCACGGCTCAGGGCAGCTGGGGCCCTGCAGGCAGCAGGGTTTGGGGCCGTTTCAGCAGGGTTTGGGGCCGTTTCAGCAGGGTTTGGGGCCGTTTCAGCAGGATTTGGGTGCAGAGCGGGGTCTGGCAGCGCGGCCGTGCCGGATGCGGTCTCGCTCTACCCCCAGGTCGGAGACACCAAGGAGCTCACACGAGTTCCATGACACCTCCCCTCTGTCAGCAGCCTCATTTAAATATATTGGGGTGTTTCTCTGCTGTTCTGCAGCTGTTTTGCTGCTGCACCCCTCCATCAATTCTCTGTCTTTCAGCAGCTTTGTAACAAAATTCAGCTGAGCTTCCTTGGAGTCAAGAGGTGCTGGGGGAGCTGTGCTCAGCTCAACTCAGCTGCCACCCAAAACGAGCTCTGGGTGCTTCCAAGCAAACATTTTCCACAGGGATGAAGCATTTTACACCACCTGGCTCCATGGCTGCTGGGGGTGGCTGGGCCTCCACCTGCCCACACTCTGGAAAATGTTCTGCAAGCTTTGGGGTGCAAGCAGCAGCCTGGCAGATCCCATCCTGAGAGTTCCCAGGAGGTTTGGGGAATGCTGGCTGCTGGTTTATAGGAACTGTGGGGTTTGTGCCCTGGCAGAAAGGAACAAGAAATTCCCTTTTTTTCAAGGTGCCTGACTCACGGTGACGGTGCCTGCTCGCCTTTCAACATCCCCACCAGCCCACAGCAATCCTGTCCCAGGGACATAACATCCCAAAGAATCCCCCTGGATTATCTAAAAGCAAAAGGAAGATTTCAAAAAGCATCACCTACCCCCGGAGCAGCATCACAAGTTGGGGTCACTTCACAAATTCCCCTTCATCCCTGGAGCTGCTCCCACCAGCTGCATCATCAGATGTTGGTCCTGCTCCCCTCACAGCTGCTGCACCCCAGGTAAATATTTTGGGGTTTATTTAACTGAAACTTGCTTTTTTGTTGATTTTTTTTCAGGTGAGAGTTTGCTGCTGCAGCGCTTTCAAGTGCTCGGTGGTGGATAAACAGATTAACAGGTGGGAGAAGTGTCTGATAAAGGCAGGAAAAAAGGGTTTTTTACAAAACACTGCTGGGGCACAGTGTGAATCAGCCAGGGCAGTGGCTCCACTAAAGGAAATGTGTAAGAAGGAACACAGATAACACATTTTTAGCCTAAGAACAGGTTTTTTAAATAAAGTGCTTCACACAGAGCTGGTGACAGGTATTTTTTCTACCCAAGGGGCAAAATCCATTTCTGATCCAACTGTGTGGCCCTGGAGGGGTGGGACACAGCTGGGGACAGCCCCTGCCTGGCAGAGGGGTTCCTTTCTCACCAGGCTGGGATGTTGCAGGAGCTGGGGTCACCTTTCCTCAATTTCTCCAGAGCAGCACAGGCTGGCCCTGCCAAGCTGAGCGACACCAAGGCTTGGAAATTGGGCATCTCCTCCCTCTGCATTCCACACATGGAGGTACAGCTGGAATATGTACAAAACAGAGCCTTTTTGACCCAATTTTCTGTGCAAATCCAGCCCAGTTGCTCCCAAAACACAGAGGGAAAAAAAAACCCTACCACTTTGTTCTACTTGAAATAACAATTTTGAAGTGCTCCTAAGAGTTGAGCTTTTAAAATTGCTTCTAAAATAACTCAAAAGTCGAAATAGATTTGCTTAGCTGCAAAAATTTCTAAATGAAAGGTCTGGCCTCGTTATGACTTTCATCTTCATATTTTAATGCTGAATCCGCTGCCAGGAGTTTGCAGATTATGATGATCCAATTGGGGGATCTTTTCCACAAAATAAACTATTTCTCTTAAAGTGTTTGGCGTGTCTGTGCTGCTGCTCACCCTCATGTTTATCTCCAAAGCCCAGTGACCCTTCAGGCTGGGTTTTCTGATAGGATTTTCGGGTTATAAACCATGTCTGGAACAATCCACTTGCTGTTTTCAGCTTATCTGGCACTTGCTGCAGCTGCTTTTGTTTTAGGAAGTTTCTTTCTAATCCATGAATATGTGATTAGGACAAGGAGGGAGGCTGGTACATTAAACTGCATCTCAAAAGGGAAATAGAGAATAAATTTGTATAAAAGCCACTCGTTAAAAAAAATACTGCAGCGTGGGGGAATGCAGGGAATTTTCATTTGTTTTGAAAAAACAGCTGCATTTGCCATCGGCATCAACTGTGCTGTGCCCAACATTTTCCTGCTCACATCGAGAAATATTTGGTGGATTTTTTAAAGCTTAATCTGCCCACAAAGCTGGGGGGAGAAGGGGCCTGGCAGCATCTCCAGGGATGGGGACACAAGATCCCGGAGACAGCAGGACGTGACTCAGCTGTCCCCAGCCACCCTCGGTACCTGTGCCTCACAGATGAGGACTTTAATTTCCTGGGCGAGGGCTTTAATGAGATAAAATTTAATTAGATAAAACAGACTCGCTGGGACAAACAGAAAATTGATTAGCACGGTGCTAAAGCCTGTTCATCACGTGAATGGGGCTCGCTGAGCACAACACCCCCTTTAGCACCCAAAACCATGCCAAAACCATGGAAAATAAGGACAGCATGGAAAATAAGGGCCTGGGAGATGGTGGCAGCAGGAAAACCCTCGCCTGCCCCTACTCGCTCCCCTCATGTCTGAAGGCTTTATTTGTTCATCAGCATTTTCTGTTTGCACTCGCTGAGGCTTTAATGAGACCCGTCCTGGGTGAAACAAAACTCCCAGGGGACGAGCCCATTAGTGCCTGCACAGCACCAGGGAGCTGTCTCCCTTGGAAAGCTGCTCCTTCCCAGCCTTTGGAAGGGAAAACTGAGGATTCACAAGCTGTTCATCATCACTAATTGGTCTTTGCCTTTTAAAATTAGATCGGTGACCGATGGTACAAACACATCCCTTTCCTGCACCTCCCTGCAGCTGCCGGGCTTTGGGGCACCCCACGGCCATGGCAGCTCCCCGGGGTGGGGCTGTGGGGTGAAGGAGAAGGGAAATGTTCCTCTAAAGCATTTTGGGGGGTTTCCACCGGTGAATAAGGAGCTGGTGCTGGGATGGGAACCGGTGCTGGGACGGAGAACCCGTTCTGCTCCCTCTGTGGGACCTCCACTGCCCCAAAATCAGCCAAACCTGCCCCTACCCAGCTCCCACAGGCCCCCCAGCGCCGTCCTCACCCAGAAAAGCAAACGTGACCCCGGAGTGCCCGCTCAGCCTCGCCTGGGCCGTGGTCTGTGATTCATCGTGGGAGCCCGAGCCTGGTGTTGACTCTGGCAGGGCTGTTATCAAGCTTGGCACCGTGGGTATAAGAGCGGCACCGCGGCGGGCACAGCACCGCGGCGGGCACTGCCACCATCCATGCCATGAGGCGCCTGCTGCTCCTCGCCACGCTCTGCCTGGCCCTGGCCAGTGCCCTGAGGAGGTAAGGGGGTCCCCAGTGTCCCCAGGGTCTGGGGGGTTCATTGCCAGGGCTGTGACGGGTGGCAGAGCTCAGCCTGTGCCGGAGCGGTGGCACCACGCTGGGATTTCTGGGTGCTCCGTCCCTCTGGGCAGAGCCTGGCAGCAGCAGGAGGGGCTGCGAAGGGGTTTGTGCAAGCAGGGAGGGCAGAAAGAACCAGTCTGGATTCCCCTTGGCTCTGCTCACCCTGCCCAGCCCCAAGGTCCTTTCCCTCTGTGGCATCGGGACAGTGACAGCCTGTGCTGTCACTGCCAGGGCCTGGGCGCTCTCCTGCCAGCTCTGGCCTTGATTTCCTGTGCCATAAAACACATCCAGTGCCCCTCTTCTGCTGTGCCTCGGCTGGAAATTGTTGCAGGGCGGGGATGTGAGCTCCGAACCTCCATCCTGGCAGTGCCTCGGGGTGGGGGCACAGGACATGGGCAGCATCCAGGGGAGTGACCAGGACCCTGAGGGTGGGCAAACAATCTGGGGTGGCACCCACAGGAGTGCCCAGGATCCTCAGGGTGGGCACAGCACCCACGGGTGGGCACAGCACCCGCAGCAGTGCCCAGGACCCTTAGGGTGGGCACAGCACGCACGGGTGGGCACAGCACCCGCGGCAGTGCCCAGCACCCTCAGGGTGGGCACAGCACCCAGGGCAGTGTCTAGAGCCCTCAGCGTGGTCACAGCACCCAGGGCAGTGCCCAGGGCCCTCAGGGTGGGCACAACACCTCCATGAGTGCCCAGCACCCTCAGGGTGGTCACAGCACCCAGGGCAGTGCCCAGCACCCTCAGAGTGGGCACAGCACACTGAGGGTGGGCACAGCACCCAGGGCAGTGCTCAGCGCCCTCAGGGTGGGCACAACACCTCCATGAGTGCCCAGCATCCTGAGGGTGGGCACAGCACCCTGAGGGTGAGCACAGCACCCAGGGCAGTGCTCAGCGCCCTCAGGGTGGGCACAACACCTCCATGAGTGCCCAGCACCCTCAGGGTGGTCACAGCACCCAGGGCAGTGCCCAGCACCCTCAGAGTGGGCACAGCACACTGAGGGTGGGCACAGCACCCAGGGCAGTGCTCAGCGCCCTCAGGGTGGGCACAACACCTCCATGAGTGCCCAGCACCCTGAGGGTGGGCACAGCACCCTCAGGGTGGGCACAGCAGCCAGGGCAGTGCCCAGGGCCCTCAGGGTGGGCACAGCACCCTCAGGGTGGGCACAGCACCCGCGGCAGTGACCGGCCCTTCCCCGCAGGGTGCCCCTGAGCCGGCGCCGCTCGCTGCGGAAGCTGCTGCGGGAGCGGGGGCAGCTCTCGCACCTCTGGAGGGCCCGGGGCGGGCCGGACGCCAGCAGCGAGGACTGCGCCGTCTTCGCGGAGACCAACGAGCCCCTCATCAACTACCTGGACGTGAGCAGGAGGCACAGCGGGCTGGCAGCACCCTCAGTTTACCCGAGCAGTGCCCGAGGCCCCAGCGCTGCCCAAACCCCACCGTTCCAGGCAGTGCCCGGCGTGCCAGGGCTCGCTGCCTGCCCGGCCCTTTGTCCCCGGGGATGTGAGGAGGAGGACAAGCGAGGGCATTCATGGCAGGCACTGCCAGCCCCTTCCCTCCCTGCCGCCTTTTGCCCGCCTCCCTGGGAACAGATTTACTCCAAAATTCAAGTTATTCAGGGCAGAGCCCCCCGCAGAGATGGAGGGAGCTCCCCAGGAGAATCCCATTCCCCAGTTCCCCTGTCCCCAAAGCCCTGCCTGGTGACAAGGGTTCCCTGGAAGAGGCAGAGGCCTGTACCCAACATGCTGCCTTTGTCCTCAGTCCCCACTGTTGTTCCTTAAATATTTGTCTCCTTTATTCCACCTGGCACGGCACAGATCAAACACTGAGCCCCATCCGTGCCCTGCAGACACCCCAGGCTCTGTTTTGCTGGCATTTCTGGCTGTGCTGGTGGCTCACGGTGTTCTCTGCCTCCCTCTTTGGCAGATGGAGTATTTTGGGCAGATCTCCATCGGGACACCCCCCCAGAATTTCACCGTGGTGTTCGACACAGGCTCCTCCAACCTCTGGGTGCCTTCTATCTACTGTGTCAGCAAAGCCTGTGGTGAGTGGGGAGCCCCTGACCCCAGAGAGGCCACGAGCCACCAGCCCCAAGGCCACGGGGTCCCTCCTAACAGAGGTGACAGAAATCCAGTGGTGAAAGCAGGGGTGACAGCTCAGCAGGGGACAAATGTGGCTTTTTGGGGCTGTCAGGGATCAGCTAGCCCCAGAAAGCCCAGAGGGACCAGAGCATCCCCAAGCAGCCCCAGGACTGTCCCTGAGCCCAGTGGGAATTCAGGAATGGGACTGAATCCTGCTGGGAAATGGGGAATGGACTGGATCCTGCAGGGACTTGGGGAATGGACTGGATCCCACAGGGAGTTGGGGAATGGGACTGGATCCTGCAGGGACTTGGGGAATGGACTGGATCCTGCAGGGAGTTGGGGAATGGACTGGATCCCACAGGGACTTGGGGAACGGACTGGATCCCGCAGCTCCATGGGAATGCTGCTGGCTGTAACCAGGGACAGCAGTGCTCATCTCAGGACTCATTAAATGCTGCTGATCCTGCTCCCCCTAACAGCCCTTGCACCCTTCATCAGACTGAAATGGGAGAGGTTTTCTCCCCCCTTCAAAACTCCAGCATGTACCTCAGCAGAGCCCCCCATAACCAGGAGTTTTGGTGACACTATGCTGTGCCATCATTTTGCCTCACTGGGGGCTCCTGTCACCTGTGGCAATGCAAAAAAATTACATTTCTGGTGAAGGATCCCATTTCCTTCCCCAGCTGAGCACAGCAGGTTCCAGCCAACCCAGTCCAGCACCTACCAGGTGATAGGGACCCCTTTCTCCATCCAGTACGGCACCGGGAGCCTGACGGGGATCATCGGATCCGACCAAGTAGCCGTGAGTGACCTTTGGGTTGCCCTGCTCTGGACAATGTGCCTGGGACTTGCCCACGGGCTCGGCCCCCCCCACAGAACCCCCTCCTCCCTGCAGGTCGAGGGTCTGGCCGTGAGCAACCAGCAGTTTGCAGAGAGCATCAGTGAGCCGGGAAAAACCTTCCTGGATGCTGAGTTCGATGGGATCCTGGGGCTGGCTTACCCCTCCCTGGCCGTGGATGGGGTCACCCCTGTCTTCGACAACATGATGGCCCAAAATTTGGTGGAGCTGCCCATTTTCTCTGTCTACATGAGCTCGTACGGACATGGCTTTGCTCTGGGATGTTGCTTGGGGTCTGGTATTGCTTTAGGGAGCAGGAGGAGCTGCTAAAATACAGATATTTTACTGAGATCATGAAGTGGGGTTTGGTACCAGATTGAGCATTGCAGACCTCTGGCCTTGCAGCACTTGTGGGGACAAAGTTGGGGTAAATTCATGCTGAATAGACAAAATCCCTCATGTGTCTTGCTCCTCCTCCCCCCTGCAGGAACCCTGACTCCCCCCAGGGAGGAGAGGTGCTTTTTGGGGGCTATGACACCTCCCACTTCACGGGCACCCTGAACTGGGTGCCAGTCACCCAGCAGGGCTACTGGCAGATCCAGGTGGACAAGTGAGTGGTGCTGGGCCGGGAGGGAGGGCAGGGCAGGGCTGGGCTGGCAGAGCATGACAAATCCCTCCTGCTCCTTCTCCCCTCTTCCAGCATCCAGCTGGGTGGGACAGTGACCTTCTGTGCCAATGGCTGCCAGGCCATCGTGGACACCGGGACGTCGCTCATCACGGGCCCCACCAAGGAGATCAAAAAACTGCAAAACCTCATTGGGGCTGTGTCTGTGGATGGAGAGGTGAGAGCCAGGGTGGGGACAGAAGGGGACAAAGCCTTGGGGACCCTTCCCTGCTGGAAGGGTCCCTCCTGGGCAGCCCCTTAGCCCCCGGTTCTGTTCCAGTACGCTGTGGAGTGCAACAACCTCAGCGTGATGCCTGACCTGACCTTCACCATCAACGGGCTGCCCTACACGCTCAGCGCCCAGGCTTACACCCTCGTGGTATGGCTGTGCCTCCCCCAATCCCAAATCCCAGCTGCTCCAGTGGCAAAGGCGGCCCAGCCCCGTGCCAGGAGCTGGCAGTGTGTCCCCAAGGGTGACAAACCCTGCCGGTTTCTGCTTTGCCACCGTTCCTGGGTGTTTCCATGTGCACGAGGCTCTCGGCTTCATCCCCAGCTTTGCACTTCCCCTCCCCCAGGAGTACGCTGATGGCATGGCCTTCTGCACCAGTGGCTTCCAGGGCAGCGACATCCCCCCTCCCACAGGACCCCTCTGGATTTTGGGAGATGTTTTCATCCGTCAGTTCTACTCTGTCTTTGACCGCGGGAATAACATGGTGGGGTTGGCCCCTGCTGTCCCTTAGGGCTGTGACATCCGTGGGGCAGGAGACGAACGGACCTTGGCAGGGCAGTGGATGTCACCATGTCCTCCTCAGTGTCTCCAGGGGGCTGAAGACACCCAGGGATGCAGTGAAGAGTCCAGCAGAGGTTCAGTCCACACCAGGACACTGTGATATAAAAATGTCTCGAGCAGCTCTGTGATCTGCTCTGCACATTCTCTTTTTGAATCCTGAGCCAATAAAAGTGTCAATAAACCCAAACTTCTCATGTTTCTGTCAGCAGCAGCCCAGCAGAAACGCTACACATCTCAAAGGGGGTAAAATCCTCCTTGCCCGTGTCCTGCTCTCCTCCCTGGGTGATCCGTGGCACTGCCAGGACTGCACTCCCAGCCTGGCTGCAGTTTCCCTGGGATATCCACAGGAGCAGAAAGAAGGGGATGCTTGGCCCAGGTAGAGCAGAAGTCCCTGGAGGTGGCTGTGGCCATTCCTGAGCATCCCAGGGCCAGGGCAGGGGCCGAGGGAGCACTGGGAATGCACCTTTCCTCAGCTGGGGCTGGTAAACAAGAAGATGACAAGGAGACAGGAAAGACCCTGGGGCTCTTTCTGTGCCACAAAACTCCTGGAGCCACCGGTGATTTCCAGTGAAATTCGCTTTGATTCCCTTGGGGAAATCACAACAAATGTGCTTGGTGGGTCCTTGAAGCAAAAAGGGCAAAGCAGCTGCTGAGCCCTGGGCTGGGCTGGCTCAAAGTGTGGGGGGCATGGGGGGCTGCACAGGGGCTGCTGGCCACGGGAGTCCCCAGGAGTCACAGTGGCACACGTGACTTGCTGACGGGAGTGTGACAACGCACGAGTGGCAGTGGCTCACGAGTGATGCACCCTGAGGCAGCAAGAAAGGGAAGCACAAAAAGGGTTATTTTTATCCAGGCCTTTGCTCTGTTTTCCCCACTGACCCTGAAGCAAGGCCGGCAGTGCCAAGGCTGAGCTGCTGGAGTGTCCGTGTCCCAGCCCAGCCTGGTGGCTGCTCCATCCCTCCCAGAGCAGAGCAGTCTTCAGGGCTGGCTCTGGGAGCTCTGGAATATTCAGATCTGGTTGTAAACTTTGTGGCTGAGCCCTGTGGTTTCCAATAAAGGGAGATATCTGCCTTATCCAGAGGTACTGATTGTGCTGCTGACCAGTGTGGGCTCTGTGACGTTTCCTGTGTTGACTTCACCCCTGCTGCAGTCCCAGATAAGGTGCTGGAGCTGCTGGACAAAGGTCTTCTGTCCCTTTTCCACCTTAACCCTTAGCATGCCAAGGTGCTGCTGAGCACGAGCCCAGGGGCTGGGGGGGAGCATCCAGCTCCCCCAGCATGACAGGGCCACCCAGTGTCCCCAGACAGCAGCTGGCAGTGAGAGTTGGTCTGGCCTGGAGTTGCCCAGGACTGCTCTGGTGCTGTGTTTTTGGGATTTCAGGGCATTCCATGCCCTCTTGACAGGTTTACGGGGGAAGTTGCTCAAACAAATACGAGCATCCCAATAAAGAGTGACCCTGTTGTCCCCCAAGGAGGCTGAACAGCACAGGGAACACTTGGATGCCCTTTGCTTCCTTCCCTTTCCCTCACTCCCACAGCCCTGCAGGGCACAGTCTGTCCTCTCCTTGTCCCCGTAAGCCTTTCCCCCAGCTGTGTCAGCCCCAGCCTGGGTTTCACCACCTTCCTCACAGTCACAGGCCACAAAACCCACGCCTTTTCCTCAGAACTGCTGATGTGGGGGAGCAGCCAGGACAGGAATGAAGCTGTGGTCGCTGGAGCTGCTGAGTGACGCCTTGGCCATCACCTCCTCCCCACCACTGCTCCCACTGCCCTCATCCAGGCAGAATCTCAGCCCTGGGGGGATTAGGAGAGCAGGAGCTTTGGGAAAATCCCTTTTCCTGTGAAATCAAACAAAAGCCAGAGATAAGGCTGATGTACCCTGGTGGGTACAGCCACCCTGGCTAAAAGCAGAAGTGGCCATGGGCATCAGCTGCAGTTTGGGATTGACCACAAACCCCAGCCCCAGCAGCATGGACAGGCTTCGATCATCTGATAGGGTGAGCAATCCCCTGTCCCACCAGGGACACGCGAGAGGAACGAGGGCAGAAGTTGTTGTGGGGGGAGGTTGAACAAGAAATTCTCTGTGCAGGAGCAAAGGTGAAGCAGGATGATGAAAAGGGGCTAAAAACGGGGATTAGGAGAGAGCTGCTGCAGGGAAATGTCAGCCTTTTACCCACCACTGGTGAGAACTGGCTCAGGTTGTCCTGCCTCAGCCCAGCTCCTCCCAGTGCCTGCCCTCTGGGGGAAAAAACAGATTTTTCTGGCCAGACAGGTCCCACAATTACACCTGGAGAAGAGGGGGAGGAAGATTTGTCCTGCTGGGTGCAGTGATCCTCCCTGAGATCCCATCAGGGTCTGCAAGGGAAAAAAAAAAATCTACAAAAATGCTGGCAGTAGAAAAGCAAAAGCCAGTGGTCTTGGAGGGATCCCAAAACCTGGCCATGGGGACCACCATCAGCTGGTTCAGGATGAGGGAGGGTTCACAGATGGGGGACACCCTGCTCCCACTGCACAGCCCAAATCCTACAGAATGCTTGGCAAAGGCACAGGACCTGCCCTTGCACGTTGGGAAGCAGAGCTCTCCCTTCACGGCCGTGGCCAAGCAGGTTCTCCCACTCCAAAGAGCCCTGGGCACCCGCCTGGTGCTGGGGTTGCTCCATGGGGGCAGCTGAGATCCCCAAAATCACATTTACTGATTGAACACATGCTCCTGCGGATGTCACCAGCTCTGTCCCCTCTTTTTGGGATGTCTCTGGGGTGCCCGTGCTGCTTGAGGGCTGTGTGGGACCCCTGCGGGCTGGGGGCTGCAGGGATGTGGCACCGAGGGGCTGGAAATGCTCGTGGTCCCCACCCCGCCCCTCTCCTCCCTGGAAAAGGAGACGAAGTCACACTGAGCTCCTCAGAGGGATCCCAGCCCCTCCTCACCCGTGTCCAGCTCCTAAATCCGCTTATCCCATCCCACGAGATCAGAGCAAAGTCCGGCTTGGCTCCAGGGATGCTGCCACAGCCCCGCCCGGCTTTTGTCCTCATCCCTCAACAATTCCCCAGCGGGGACGCAGATAAAAGGTCCCGGGGCGGTGGCAGAAAGGAACCGAGGGGATTCTGAGCCAGAGGAGAGGCCAGAAGTCAATCCCAAACTCCAGCAGCGCAGGAGAACCTTGTTCTCCTTCCCCATCGGACCCCGAGCCGGGGACACACGGCAGAGCCGGGAATCGAGGGCGAATCCATGGACATCCCAGCGCCCGCCCGCGGCTCCTCCAGCCCCGCCGGCATCTCGGCCCCTTTCTGCTGATGTCACGGAGCGGGGCCCCGCAGCCGCCTTCCCGGGGAGGGCAGGGATCGGCCCCTTCCCGGATCCTCCTCTCTCGCCTCTCCCCTCCCCGGGCCGGCTGCAGCGGAGCCGGGAGCCGCGGCTGCCCGGCAGGTGAGTGTCTGCAGGTGAGTCCTGGGGGCAGCCGAGACCCGCGGAGCAGCAGCGAGGGGAAACTCCATTTTGAGTTTAGAAACATCTGGCCTCCCAAAAAAGCTGGCGAAAACACTGGGAAGTTTGTGTGTGCTGAGACACGAGGCTGTGCCTGCGCCCAGGATGCTGCCCGCGGCTGGGCACGGCTGGCAGAGGGGGCAGGGGGGCTGGAGCCCACATCTGGGAGCTCCCCGCTGGTGTTCCAAGGGGAATGGCGAAGGGCTGGCCAGCGCATCAGGGAAAAATGCAGGGATGAGGCTGCCAGGGTTTCCATCCGTGTCTTGGCCGCCGGTGTCGGTGTCGGACGCTGCCGTGGGGATGGGGCTGCTGCGGCTGCTGGGGGATGCTGGTGCCACCTGACGAGGGGGTTTCAGGGGTTCTGGCCAGGCTCTGAGCATGTGGGGACACTGGGACATAATGGGGACACATCCTGGAGGGACATTTCAGGGTGCTCCTGGCCGGGGATGCTCCCTGGGCTGTGGTTGAGGCACCAAGGAATTCCTTCTGGCTGGGCTCTTCTTTAATAAATTTAATTTTCACCAGGACCCCAGGCTTGTGTGCCAGGCCTAGGGGGAGGGACTGCGCTGGAGAGGGGGTGGGAGAGGCAGGGAAGTGGCTCCCAGCAACTTTGGATGGTGATGCCCCGGCGAGTCTGGGCGTGCTGCGGCTCCTCGGGAGCGGGCGGGGACGTGGGCCGGGCTTGGCATGGGGGTTTTCTATCCCCGCTGTGCCTGGGACACAATGCTGGCATGGCACGGGCCTGATGCTGGCACGGCGAGGGCACAACGACATCCCGGGGTGGCAGCAGGGACAGGACTCCAGGGTGCCATCCCCACAGCCCCGTGAGCCCCTCTCGCCCCACAGGGCCTGTCCATGGATGCCAGCAAGAAGGTGGATCTGAAAATCATCATCATCGGAGCTCTGGGGTAAGGAGCTGGTGAGGGAGGGAAGCCCCCTGCGTGTGCTGGGTGTCCCCTGCCCACCCCAGCCTCACCAGTGCCCCTTTCCTCGTCACCAGCGTGGGCAAGACCTCCCTGCTGCACCAGTACGTGCACAAGACGTTCTACGAGGATTACCGCACCACGCTGGGCGCCAGCATCCTCACCAAGGTCCTCGCCGTGGACAGCACCCCCCTGAAGCTGCAGGTGAGCGGGGTGAGCTGGCACTGCCCGCAGTGCCCACCCTGATCCCAGCCCTGTGTGCCCCACCCTGGCCTGCTGTGCCCAAATGCCACCACGGTCATGAGGTGCAGAGCTCCATTTTCAGAGCTGATTTTCAAAGCTCGATTTTCAAGATGATTTTCAGAGTCCAATTTGCAGAGCCAAATTTCAGAGCCCGATTTTCAGAGCCCGATTTTCAGACCTGATTTCAGAGTCTGATTTTCAGCATCCAGGAACTGCACTAGAATCCCACAGGAATTCTGGGGGCTCAGCACCCCCTGAAGCTGCTCCTCTGGGCTGCAGCACCCACCCTGCTCCTGTCATGTGCCCTCCTCTGCCCTAGATCTGGGACACAGGGGGACAGGAGCGATTCCGGTCCATGGTGTCGACCTTCTACAAAGGCTCAGACGGCTGCGTGCTGGCCTTCGACGTGACAGACAGGGAGTCCTTCGAGGCCCTGGACAACTGGAGAGATGATTTCCTGGAGAAGGTCATTCCCAGGGAACAGGATTTCCCCATGGTGGTGCTGGGGAACAAGATAGACCTCAGTGACCGGCAGGTAAGGGTGGAGGAGGGAGAGCAGGATGAGCAGCGGTGGGGTCACCACCCCTGGAGGGATTTAAAACTTGTACAGATGACACTTGGGGACATGGTTTAGTGCTGGGTTAATGGCTGGACTGGATGATCTTAAGGATCTTTTCCAACCTAAACAATTCCATAATTCTGTGACGGGGTCCCTCACCTCAGAACCAGCCTTTTCCCTACCTTCACATAAACCAGAGCTCCAGGCAAGGAACTGCCACCTTCTCCAGCACTCTGGGAGGGGATGAGCAACATCCTCCTGCTGCTCTTTGGGGCACAGACTGTCCCCAACAGAGGCAGCAGGAATGACAACCTCAGGCACTGCCAGTACCCCCTCACCCAAGCAGTGCCTGGATGGGTGAGGGGGGTCCTCTGTCCCATCACTAAGCGGTGGCTCACCTCCTGGATGGGTGAGGAGGATCCCTTGTCCCATCCCTGAGCTGTGGCTCCCCCAGCAGTGCCTGGATGGATGAGGAGGGTCCCCTGTCCCATCCCTGAGCTGTGGCTCCATCCTCCCATCCCTCAGGTGCCCAAGGAAACGGCCTCAGCCTGGTGCAAGGAGAAGGACATCCCATATTTCGAGGTCAGTGCCAAGAACAACATCAACGTGGCCGAGGCTTTCGAGACCCTCGCGAAGCAGGCGCTGAGCACGGTGAGCACCCTCCAGCTCCGAGCTGTGCTGGGGGGGGATTTGGGGTAAAACCGGGCTCAGCTGGGTCTGCTCTGACAGATCCTCCCGTGTGGAGCAGCTCCTGCTGCAAAGGAGAGCCCCGGGAATGAGAAACGCAGCAGTGCTTGATCCTAAATCAATAGGAGTAGGAATTGCCGTGTGCTTTTCCCGCAGTGATGGGAGCCCACAGCGCGCCAGCACTGTCCTCTAGCGGCCGTGCCACGGGGACACTGGTGTCCCCAAGCCCTGCGCTAGGTGGCTTTTGCCTGGATTTTTTTGCCGGTGACAGAGCCAGGGCTGAAGCGCCGCGCTCTGTCCGCGGGGTCGCCCAGGCTGGCTCGGAGCTGCGCTCACTCACCCTCTCCCTTCTCCGGTTCTCTTCCAGTATAAAGGGATTTTTGAGAGTTATTTAACCGACTCCATCAAGCTCACTCCCAACGACAAGCCCAAGCAGAGCTGCTGCTGACCCCGGGGCCGCTGCACCCCGCGATGCCCACGGCTGAGCCCTGCCCGGGGTCCGTGCCCGCTGCCCGCAGGGACTGGCAGTGCCAGGGCACAGGACGGCCACTGCTGGACACACCAGGGCCGGCTGCCTGCCCACCCCGGGATGTGCTGCTCTCCCGAGCCTCCCAATCTGCTCAGTGTCACGGTGGTGGCCCTGTCCCCCCTCGATCTGCGGCCGTGTGGCACCCGAGCGGGCGATGTCCCTGCCGTGACGGTGCCAGGGGTGCGGGCAGGGCTCCCGGTGCCTCTCCAGAGACCTTGGCACCGCGGGTGACCCTTCCCCGTGCACAGCCTGGTGGCCCCGCGGCTCCCAGGGTGGCACGGGCTGCCCTGAGGGGACAGTTGGGGCTGGTGGCCTCGGCACAGGAGGTCACTATTCCGTGCCTCAGTTTCCCCTCCTCTCATGCATATCCCACATCAAACACCTTCCCTCTCCCGCCTCACTGGGGAGGATTCTCAAAAAAGCACTTTGTCAGGGGTACTTTTTTTTTTTTTTTTAAAGGAAATTAAAAATTTCATTTTTATTTATATTTATGTGTTGTAAAATGCTCCCCAGGTCCTGCAGCAGAAAGGTGGGGTGGGGGCTCCAGACTTCCCTCCCTGAGCCTGTTCAGCTTCTCAGGGTTGGGGGATGCAATTTGGGTCTGGGGTTTTTTTTAATATTATTTTAATTTTTTTACATTTATATATTTATTTATATATATAATATATAAATAAATTTATATACTATAAATATAAATAAATATAAATAAATGTATAATATCTATAAATTTATACATTTATTTTAATATATTTCTATTTTTATATTATTTTAAATTTTAAAATTTATGTAAATTTTGGGTAGGGGCGGAGGAGGTGCGAAGTGAGTGTGCAGAGGTGGCGTGGGGACCTGGCCGGGACGGCTGTCGGCAGAGGGAGCCCGCTGGGAGCACAGCCCGGCTCTGCTCCCTTCTGCATCCATCCCGGGCACCTTCCAGCAGCTGGGGCTGTCCGGGGAGCGTCCACCCTGTCCCCGCGCCACCTGGGGCTGCAGCATCCCCTGGACAGGGTGGATGGACTCAGATTACCAGGGAGGTCACCAGGGAGCTCCTGCCATCCCCCTCCAGACCCCCCCACTGACTGCAGCGGTGCCACAGAGCTTCCCGGAGGCTGTCCTGGCATCACCCGGGGACAGCACCCTCGGGGCCAGGGCAGGGGCTGGCAGGAGCTCAGGAAGGGAGAAACCTGAGCGAGGGCCGGGCACGGGGGGCGTGGGGGCTGCAGAGATGGGCTGGAGATGGAGATGGGGCTGGGGCTGGAGATGCGGATGGGGCTGGAGATGCGGCTGGGGCTGGAGATGCGGCTGGGGCTGGAGCTGGAGATTGGGCTGGGGCTGGAGCTGGAGCTGGGTTCGGAGAGAACGGAGAGTTCCCGCCCTCATCCTTATGCAACGCTCCGCCTGTTTATTTGGGCACCGGGCCGGGGAGAGGATTTGTCCCTTCCTATTGGGAGGAGAGGGGCATTAACTATTTCCTCGCCACGTTCTGGACGCCCTTTCCCCACCCTGTGCCTGCCCGGAGCCCCCCTCCCACCCAGCATCCCCCGGCCCATCCCGGCCCCCGCCGGGGCTGTTGGGACCCGGGGGCTGGGCACTGTCCGTGCCAGCAGCGCTGCTGTTTCTCATCACACCCTTCCCCCAGCAGCTCCCAGCGCTGGCAAACAAGAACCTGATCTGTTCCAGCCCGGCACGCAGCAGTTTGGACAGCCCGGGCTGAGCAGGTCACACAAAGGCACTCAGGGGAGGGGGTGCTCCCTGAGCCGGGTTGGCAGCCCCTGGCACAGCCCAGGGTGCTGTGGGTGCTGGAGCCTGTGAGTGGCAGGAGCTGGAGCCGGGTGGGAGCTGCGGATTTGGCTCAGGGTCCCGCTGGATGCTCGGCACAGGGCGGGCAGGAGCCCCAGGTGGGCTGGGGTCAGACCTTGAGCTGCAGGCACAGCTCTCTGCAGAGCCCTTGGGCAGGCTCTGGGCTCAAACTGAGCAGGGCCCCAGCACTTTGTGCATCATTCCAGACACGGGAATCCGGACTGTGAAGGATGCTGCAGCCTCAGCAGCTGGCAGGATCTCCAGTGGCATCACCACCGTGTGGAAATCATGCCCAGCACACCTTGCAGACGTGCAGCACCGTGCTGGAGCCAGCTACAGCCCTCCAGCCCTTCTTCTCCCTCCATCCCTCCGGGGCAGGGTGTCCTGCTGGCCAGGCAGCCCTGGGACAGCCAGGAAGGCCAGGAGAGCGGGCAGGGTGGCACGGTGCCAGGCAGGATGCTGGCAGGAGCAGCCAGAGGTGCTAAGCTGGTAACACTATCCTACAGCCGAAACCCGATAAAGGACAGGGGGAGGTTTGCAACACGTGGGATTAACAAGGTCAGCTCAAGATTTTCTCAGGGTGAAAATCAAAGGGGAAAATATTTGCCTTGTGTGACTCAGTGAGTTCCTGAGCAGCCACCTGAGTTCCTGAGCTCACCCTGGCCTGTGGCCACTGCTCAGGAGCCAAACTGAGCCCTCCTGCTCTCCTGCCCACAGGTTAATGACCAGAGACTTCCCAGCTGCTCTGCTGTCCCTGCAGGTTTTAATTCACCCATTGAAACGGCAAAAATCAGTAAAATCTCCCCCTGATACTGGTCACCAAACAGGGACCATCCCAACCCTCTTGCAGAAGATCTGCCCTCAATATTTGAGGAATTAGCACCCCACACTCACCCTAAATCCCCGACTCCCAGTTTGCTTCGTTGTTCTGAGGTTCAATTACCCCTGAGAGAGCTCTTCACCACCCCTCATCCCACCTGCCCTGAAAGCCCAGCCTGTGCTCTGTGCTGCCTGGTGGAACCTGCCCTGCTGAGCCCCGGCTGGTTCCAGGGGTGGCAGCAGGGTTGGAGACAGTGGATTTGCATCACAAATGCCCCTGCAGGGCTGGCAGAGAGCGGCTCCTCCGCTGCTCCTTCCCCAGACACATCCCAGGCACAGGCAGCAGTGCCCAAGAATCATAGAATCGATAATTAAGGTTGGAAAAGCCCTCTGAGATGATCAAGCCCACCAAAATGAAACAATGTCCCTGAATGTCCATCTACCCCAGCCTGTGGCACCTGCAGCTGGGTGGGATTAAATTCTTTTATTGAAATGTGAGAATTTAAATGAAGACACTGGGAAATACCTTAAAAAGCTACAAAAAGAATCAAAACCCAGCAAGTTTTCCTGTTTGGAAGCAGAAGCCCGATTAACCTGGAGCTGGGACTGAGGGTAACCAGTGGCTTCAGCCACTTCAAAGCCGACCTGATAAACGCCAGGGGTTCAAAGTTCCAGGTAACCTTTCAAAGGCGTCAGACGTGAAAAACAAAGCCAGGGCATCACGCAAAGCCTTATCTGTGCCCCGTGGTGCCACCGGGCCGCAGGGCAGTAAACACCTCCGGAGGTGTCAGCACAGCCCCGGGGCCACCGCGGCCACTCCTGCTGGCTGTCACCCGGCAGTGACGGGCTCGGGGTGGTGGCCTGGCCTGTGGCACACTGGGATTTCCTTCAAAGAGTGCTCCTGGTGCTGGGAACTACCTGAATGATTGGTGTCCCTTTCCTCAATCTCCCCCACAGTGAGGGGGTGGCACTGATGGCGTTGGTGTGACTGTCCCCCTAGGGTGTGGCTGTCCCCAGAAGGGACACGCTGTCAGCCCAGGTATGAAGCACAGCTGTCCCCTCACCCTCTGCCTCGCTGCCCATCCAGCCACAGCAAATGTTGGTGCTCCTCCTGCACCCCCGGCCCACGGGAGGTGCTGTCCCCATGTCCCACCCCGGGTGACACCCACGTGCGGGCTGTGTGGGGCCACAGGGCTGTGCCCGGCCCCGGGGCTGGGGACAGAGGGCTCTGGGGACACGGCAGGGCTGAGCCAGCACGCAGGGAGGAGTAGGGGCTGTGGCCAGCGCCCAGCCAGCTCTGGACATGCTGGGTCAGCAGCCAGCCCGAAACTCAGGCAGCCTCCCCGCAGCTGGGGCCAGGAGCAGGATCAGGATTGGATTGGGATCAGGATCAGGATCAGGGTCGGGATCAGGATCAGGGTCGGGATCAGGGTCAGGGTCGGGATCAGGATCAGGATCGGGATCAGGATTGGGATCAGGGTCAGGATCAGGGTCAGGATCGGGTTCTGGGGCAGGATTGGGATCAGGATCAGGATCTGGGGTAGGATTGGGATCAGGATCAGGATCAAGGTCAGGATCAGGATTGGGATCAGGGTCGGTATCAGGATTTGGATCAGGGTCAGGATCAGGATCAGGGTCAGGGTCAGGACTGGCATTAGGATCAGGGTCAGGATTCAGATCAGGATCTGGATCGGGATAAGAATCAGGATCAGGGTTAGGATTGGGATCAGGATTGGGATCAGGACATGGGGTGTGCAGGGTGCCCCTTCCCACCCCACCCCTCCTTTGGGTTCGGCAAAGCCCCGCGGAGGTGCTGGGCGCTGTGGGGAGGATCCCACCGTGGGACAGAGCCCCGAGCAGCAGCAGCAGCGGCAGAAGCAGCCCGAGGAGCCCTGAAGGTTTGGTCAGGATGGGATGGTCCCGTGCCGAGGGCCGGGCAGCAGCTCCGGGGTAGAACCGAGCCACAGCAGGGCTCACACGGAGCGGGTGGCCCTTGGCACAGGAATTCCTTCCCGTGGGAATCGCAGGTGAGCTGGAGCCGGGGAGCAGCGGCAGCCTCAGCCTCCTGCTGGTGGGTCCCTGCTGCCCGGGAGGAGCTCGCTATCCCAAATTCCCCAGATTTAGGTTTGAGGTAGGCTGGGCTCTGTCCTGGGTGAGTAAGCAGCTCCTCAGGGTGTGGACAGACACAAACAATGGTGATCTGCAGCTCCGCTCGTGCTGAGCACAGGGAAATGTGGATTTGCCTCCTCTCAGTGCCCTGGCTGAGCTCCCTCAGGTCTGCATGAGGCCATCAGTGATAAACAACACAGAGAATAGAAAATTTCAGGTTTTTTCAGAAGTTGCTGAATGGAGTTTCAAGATTAAACACTTCAAGCTGTGGTAGAAAGATTATTCTGGCCCATTTTGGTACCACCAGCATCCCCAGGGACGGGGCTGCACCAGACCAGAAGCCAGGGCAGCAGCAGAGCCTCCCTCAGGCCCTGGGCGAGGCTCAGGGCAGTGAATCCCCCTCCTGCCAGGTCCCACCTGGACACTGCATCCCTCTGGCCCCAAATGCTTTATTTAACTTTAATGCCCTTTAACCACAGACTCTTTCAGGGCAGCTCAGCTGCCCCCTGGCCTCATGCCAGGGCTGCAGCACCAACGCTCCTAAAACTCCTCAAAAAGGCAAAGCAGGCAGCGCTTTCATCTAAAATCTGCCTGCTGATCTCTCTGACCAGGGGCGACAGGGCCTCCTCCTGCTCCAGCTCCTCACGTCCAACACCTGAGCTCCTCTGCAGGCATTGACCTCAGAGCCCTC